CCCCAAAACCCCAAAACCCCAAAACCCCTATTCTTCATAATGTTGATGATACCGATTATATTATTAATTAGGCATTAAAGGTATGTCACACATCTGGATATGCATCTCAAGATGAAAGATTACCAAAAATCTATTTAGAATCTATAGAGACTTTTCTCATAGAGTTAGCAATAATCTGCACCTCTAGGGAATATTTTAAACCATGATTTTCCAAACTCTTTTCAAGAGTAGAGATCTTGCATGATTCTGAGTGGACAAATTTAATCAATTATAGGAAAATGGAAGGAAAGGAACCCCAAATACCTCAAGAAGGTGTTGAAGAGGAGTCAAATATAGTGTTTACCCCTCCAGAGTTCAACAAGATTAGTAGCCATCCAGTTAATGTAGCGTAGAAATTTAACCTTGTAGGAATTGGATATGGAGAATCTTCATTTTGATAAAGGAACTGAAGTTGCCCAAGGTAAGCCAGATTCACCCTCAGAATGTAATGTTATCATAGATGACATTAATAAGCTTCATTCAACTATTAAGGTCAGATGCTGCATGTGAGGAGATCTGATAGAGCCCAATCCAAGCAGTACTTGTATGGAGTGCCTTTCAGAGTAAGTATTTAAACTCCTCCTGGAATTTTAACATTACCAATTTTATCAAAATTTTAGGACTATTGATATCACCGAAGGAATTTCTATCACAAATGATATTGCTCAATGTCGGACTTGTGAGAGATGGTGTGGGCCCCCTTGGATATACTGAGATAGAGAGTCCAATGAGATGCTCACTCTTCTCCTCAAGAAGATTAAAGGGATGAATAAATCAACCAAAATTTTGGACGCTTCATTGGTTTGGACTGAGCCCCACTCAAAAAGACTGAAAGTGAAAATTACCATATCTAAAGAAGTCCTAAATAACACTGTGATGAGGAAGACACAGGTAATTACCTTCATCGAGAAGAATCAGCAGTGTGATGAATGAAAGAAATCTTTTACTCCTCATACGTGGAATGCTGTTGTCCAGCTTAGACAGAAAGTTGGCCATAAAAGAACATTCATGTTTCTTGAGCAGTTGATTTTGAAGAACAAAGTTCATGAGAAATGTCTCAATGTAGAGGAAAAAGGTACCTAATCCAAGCCTAAGCTATAGATGATGGACTTAACTTCTATTTCAGAGACAAAGCCAGAGCAATGGGACTAATGGAGTTTGTTCAGAACCAAATAGTTGTTAGAGTGAAGCAATCGAATAAACTTGTTTCTCATGATGAGAAGAAGGGAACTTCAAATTCAAAATTTACCATCAGTATTGATATTGCTCCTGTGTGTAAAGATGACCTTGTCCTTCTTCCTAAGAAGTTATCAAGAGATCTTGGAGGCATTGGACCACTTGTGCTATGATATAAGATTTCAAAGTCTATTAACATTGTTGATGTTGTGACAATGGAGACAAGTGAAATAGATTCAGCATCTTATTGGAAAAATCCATTCTCATCTCTAATTACCAGACCTCAAGCAATAGCTTATGTTGTCAGAAATATAGACAACGCAGATTTCGATGTGAACGAGTCTAGAGCAGCCAAGAGGAACAAATTCAAATTTGCTGAAGTTGAGGTTCAAAGATACTCTGAAGTAGGTGTCAACGACCAAACATATTTTTCATACACACATCTTGGAGAGATGTTGACTTACGATGATACTGTGCTTGGTTATGACCTAGAATCAGCCAATTTCTCTGATGAACAGAGGGATTTACTAGAGAATAAAAAGGTACCAAAATCCACCTAAATTTTAGAAACAAACCCCAGATGTAGTGTTAATTAGAAAAGGATACCCAAAAACTAGAGCTAAAAGGAAGAACAAAAAACGTAAGTGGAAGCTCAAGCATCTCAAGGCTGACAAACAAGAAGACATAGGTATAGATTTGGCCTCACGAATATAGATTTCCTCGATCACCTAAAATCAAAAGCTCCAAAAGGAAGCAAGAAAGCAGCTAAGCATAGCAAGAAGGTAAAGAAGGAAGAAAAATCAATTGCAAACAAAAATATTGACTACGAGTTGTTCTTGCAAGACCTGGAAGAAGATAGAGGTAGGATACCTGACTAAGTCATAGAAATGAGAGGGCAAGTTAATATTTACAAAGAAGATCACTTTGAAGAAGAGGTAATTCTTTCATTCTTTACCCTCTTTTCTCTAAAATGCATGCTAACTTCTCTAATAGAAAGAAGAAGAGGAAATCAAAAAGACAACAAAGAAGATAGATGATATGAAGCTTGGAGATGAAATTGCCCAGATTGACCAGATTGGCTCTGATACAGATGATGAGAACTTCCCTGATATTCAAGATGATGAATTTGAGTCAGACTAATTCTAACCAATTCAGCATAAGTCCATAGTAAGGGGTTTTGGGGTTTTGGGGTTTTGGGGG